CCTTTATTTTACATGGGATGCTGCCCCAGCATGGCTTGATGAGCAGTGTGTAGGTCAAGGTCTGGGATTCAAACCCATGAACCCCAGGCCGCCAAAGCAGAGCAGGCAAACTTAACTACTATGCCACCGGGCCAGCGTCTAGTTTTTGATCTATGATTCTAGTTCAACTTCTTTACTTCATGCAGGTAAAATGTAATTTTTAGATGGGCAAGTGACTTGCCCAAGATCATATAACAGATTACTAGCAGATATGAGAATTATTCTTATTCTGTTGATATTAAGTTATTAACTTCCTTAATTCAAATATTTATAAATTCCTATTTTGCATGATCTAATTAATACTTACAATGTATAAGGAAATTTCTATATTCCATATTCATAAAGAGAACATTGATGCTCCAAAATTAGGTGAATTACTGGTACAACCCAGGATAGAGAATAACATATTTAATTCATTGAGCACCAAGTTCTATGTGGATTATACCATCAATAGTGACAAAATTCTCTGATACAAAGCCTGAGTGTAGTGGGTGAAATAGTGTCCTCCCCAAATTTATGTCCACCTAGAACCTCAGAATGTGATCTTATTTGGAAATAAGATCTTAGCAGATGTAGTCAAGTTAAGATGAAGTCCTACTGGATTAAGGTAGGCCCTAAATCTAAGGACTAATGTCCTTATAAAAAGAGGACAGACACATAGAGACACACAGAGAGGAAGGCTATGTGACAAACAGAGGCAGAGACTGGAGTGATGCAACTATAAGCCAACTAATGTCAAGGATTGTCAGTAACCACTGGAAGCTAGGAGAAAGTCATGGAACAGATTCTTACTCAGAGGCTCCAGAAGGAAGCAACCCTGCTGACATCTTGATTTCTGACTTCTGGCCTCTTGAACTATGGTAGAAAAAATGTCTATTGTTGTAAACCACCAGTTTGTGGTACTTTGTTACTGCAGCCCAGGGAAACTGGTATCCTGAGGAAAAGTACATTCTATTTTACTAATAGGAATATTGAATTAAAAAATGTTATAGCAGTCCCCGTACCTAATTCAGGAATCTCAGGAATACATGTCAGAAGAAAAGAGCAAAATGTATCCAAAGACTGCTACTTTACTTTTTCACCATATTAATTTATTTCTTTATGTTAAAAGGGAAATATTTTACATTGATTTCAAAGCCATCTTCATTAGTTGTAAGGTTTATAGTTTAAATACTATTTTAGGAGGAATATTGCTCACCAAAATAAAAGAAACATTTGCATTTTAAGTGTCTTAAAAATTCTCGCAACCTACAATGATGGCTTTGGTCCACTAGTGTACAGGTATTAATAAGCCACCAAAAGCAGGACCACATTTTCGTATATTTTCAAACCCTTAGGAATTGGTCTAGTAGAAAGATAAAAGCCTTATTGTGAGTGACAGCCAACACAGAGTCTTTGTCAAGTCAAGTGGTTGGATCTTTGATTTTTGAAACTGAGTCGTCCAAGTTCTAGATTGGTTGGCATGCTTCCTGTGTGCATTTCACCTGAAAATGGTGCTGTCTCTATGCAGAAACCGAAGTGATCCAGAGAAGGAGAACAGGTATCAAAATATATGCGTAACAACATTTTTAGTGAAAGAGAAAAGGAAAATAGCTACATATTTGTCATGGTGATTGCATATTGAAATTGAATATACGAATGGAGGCTTGACAGATGATCTTATTAAATCTTTCAATTAAAAAGAGAATAAGACAATTCAGTATGTGGTTATAACAATCTTAAAAGATATAAAGTAAATATTAAATGATTACTTATACTTAGTAGACACAATAGGCCCATTAGGATTTTTTAAATCTACTAACAACTATATAGTATTATATTTGAAAACCTCCATATATGGGAAATCTTTTGATTACTACCTATACTATAAAATCACATCTACTCATTTATTAATCTTCAGCCTATATATATTTTTAAATAATTGATTTAGTTAAAAATATTCTGAATTTGAAAAATTGGAGTTATTTTAGATAGAATTCCTTTTTAGATGCAGATTATCTAGTTTCATGATAAATTTGGATTGTAATTTCAGGAATTCCTTGAGAATGGACCAAATTTTATATATAAAATTATTGTTATCATGAGTAATACTCCAAAAATGAAAAAATTCCCACCCAGGAACAGATCCAAAACATGGCTTACAACTCACTTAGAACTACCAAGATTATTCATAAAATCCAACTTAATTCATAAGGGAACCAAAATATAGAACACAAAATGGTATAATGATACTATAATATCACCTCCTAGGGGAAAAACAACTGTGTGTTTCTAGTTGATAAACTTGTCCCTTACCCAAACAAAGTCCTCTCTGTGGTAGGTATTGCCCCTGGGAGCCTTCCTTTCCCATTCTCAGCCATGTTGAAGTCTCCTCAAGTCTCCTGCTATGGGCAGGACCCAAGAAGGACTAGAATTAAGGCACCTATCAGAGTGGGCCATTTTGAGATTTGCTTAATAATAATAATAATAATAATAATTGGCCTTTATTAAACAAAGAACTCCCCACACAGAACTTTCTACAGTAAGTTATAGTCCCATATTAGCAAAGCATTAACATTCCAGGGACATTTATATTTTAGCTTTGGTCTAATGCCAGGACTTTTTATAAGATAAATTTTAATGCTTGCATTGTACATCATTACTAGATGATGGTTGAAATCAACATGTTGGTTTGTCTATTTTTAGACTTGTCAAATAATCTATATACAAGTTCCCTGAATAAGTATGTGCCCTACGGTTTTATCTAGAATTTCAATTGGGTGTAAAAAGTTCAGTTAGTTGACTATTAGAAATATTGAATAAAATAGTCAATGAACTATCTTAGTTGAGAGGATTATTTCAGGAAAAAAAAAGGTCAACGAGTATTTTGTATATAAAGAAAACAAATAATCATAAAAGAAACCAGCCAAGTCTTAGAGGCTGTAAAATGGATATTCCAGAAAAGAGTACATCTTCAAGAGAGTACAAAATCCACATTGATTTAATTTCACTCCTACTTTAAATTTGAGGTTGCCAGCTTTTAAAAAATGCAATCCACTTTGCTCCCTATTCATCTATCACCTGAACAAACTGCCATTATATCTACAATCTCTTTACTCTAAATATCCTTTTCCAGCCATCTTCCTCCATAGGCATCTAATAATACTCAAATGTGGAATCAAGGCATTGTAGCAGAATGAAATGAAAGGAAGATAAAGCAAGAAATTTTAAGTGAAATCTCTAGTGGGGCAATTATTATAGTGGTCAGATGGTCTCCACTGAAACCTAGGGTAAACTTGTAACTTACTATGTGACTCTGGTGGTCTAGTGGTTAAGATTTGTTGCTCTTACCACCCTGGCCTGGGTTCCTTTCCTGGTCAGAAACCCACACCACCCATCTGTCCATTGTCATACTGTGGTGGCTGCATATGGCTGTGAGGCTGAAAGCTATGCCACAGGTATTTCAAACACTAGTAGGCTCACCCATGGTGGACAGATTTCGCTGGAGCTTCCAAAATAAGACAGACTAGGAGGAAAGAACTGGCTGCACACGTCTGAAAAAATTGGCAGTGAAAACCCAATGAATAGCAGCAGAACATTGTCTAATATAGTGCTGGAAGGTAAGAGGATGACACAAAAAGACAGAGCAGGGTTCTGCTCTGCAGTACACAGGGTCACTAGGAGTCAGAATTGACTCAAAGGCACTAACAAAAACTAAGTGATATGAGCAAGTTCCATTTTCTAATATCACTTCCCCTTTTTCAAGTGGGAAGAATATTACTCCTTTTTTATAGATTCATTTGAGAAATAATCAGATGATCCATGTAAAGTACCTAAAATTATTCCTGCTACATATTGCAGGCTCCTATATTACCTGGTGAACAATTTTGTAGCAGAGGAGAGTAAAAGGTTATTTCAATATTTCAAGTAAGTGCCATTAACAGAGATATGGAAGTGTAAGAAGACAAATTTCATTCTTTATGTCCTTAGTCTATGTTAACAGTGGAGCATCTGAGTAGAATCTACTGAGATACAATTGGGGATTGAAAATCAAAGCTTAGCTGAACATAGAGTATCAGAAATATGGTAGCATATTAAACACTTGTAGGATGGAAGAATGAACACTGTACTAGAAATGAGACATTGCTCTGGTTCCATTAGCCATTTATAATTCTTGAACCACAATTTTTTTCAACTAAAAAGTATAGACTATACAATCTCTGAGATCTTTTCCAGCTTTAAAACTCTATGGCCACGTAGATCTTTACAGCCATGTATGAACAGTATTCTACATTATATGGGAATTGTAAGCTCTTTAATTTAGAGAATTAATTTACTTGGCCTAATGATATAAAATTAACTTTAATGTAATAAAAGCATAGGTGTGGCTCGTGGCAATTATATCTATGAAATTATTGCTTGGGGGATCAAATATTCAAAAAAATTAATCTCTTTGTCACGAATTCAGTTTAAATTATTATTGTTGAACCAAAGTCTGTAGAGGGAGCATCAAAATTAACTTAATTAAGGAAAAGAAAGAAGATGGTTGGAACAAGTTTTGGGAAATAAATATTTGAATTTCAGTATTTCAAGTGGAGAGGTACTGATATATTAAATTGGGGGAAATATTCCACTCACATTAATTTATCTGTTATGGGTCCAGGGTCTTATAAAAACGTAGCTGCTTTCAGCGAAATTATTAGGACTAAGAAACTAAGCCAAATTTCACGTTCTTAAAATAAAAGATAAATTTGTACCTCATCTCACTACTAAAGGGAAGATTTTTTTCTTGTTACGTAGAACTTTTTCTAATTAAAGAAAATTATATTACTGATAGTTATGAAAGTTCAAAAACAAAGAACAAATCACTTGAGCTTACAACAATATTTAACAAGCTATAATAAATAGAATTAGATAATCCAAACAGAATGCAGATTTAAATACATTTCATTTGGTTATAGATTTAATTTCATGTTGTTGTTTACTCTCAAAATGATATCTCAATTAATATTAGAGTACGCATACTTTATACTAAAGTTTGATACAGGGGTATAGAATCATTGAAAATGTGTAAATACTTATAAAAGTAAACAATCTTAAAGATTGTTAAAATATTGTAGATAATGTTCTGAAATCATTTAAGCAAGATAGTCAGAAATAATTTTTCGCTGTACCCTAATATCGCTACATAATAATATAAGTCCCCTCATTCTTATACATTCATTCGCTGACATTTTTGTGAATATAGTTTCAAATTCTAGCAAGAAAATTTATATTTAAAGTATAAGCCACAGTGTACAAAAGGCCAGTAGATTTCCAAATATATAACAGAAATCTTTTCCTAGGTGATTAAGATAGTGTAAGTTATCAAATTGTCAAATTTTTTTAATGGTCCCATGCTTCGTTTTTTGTTTGTTTCTGTTTTTCCAGTTCACTACAACTGTTAGGAATAAGCAGTCACATCATCATCACAAAAAATAATCAAAAACTCTTCCTTTCCATTTATAATACAAAGTAAGAATGACTTTTACTGCTGCCAGTTTCAAACCTACTTTTCATATGTTCTTAAGCAAAAGAACGTTAAACCACACCAAACAGCCTGAGCATAATTTCCCAAAAGAATCATTTGTAGAGAAAACAAAAAAGGTACTCATACTCAAATTTACACACATATACCCTTGTTTAACTATAATACTAATATATTTCCCATTGAATTCATTCTATAAATATGTAATGAGTGCCCAGGCACTGTGATTGTGATTGGGAATATGTGATGCTGAATTAGCGATGAAACCTGCCCTGTGTACGCTGATACTCCAGCAGGGAGGACAGACAAATGAGCTAGAGATTATTGACCACTGTGAGAAATTATATGATAAAATCAGACATCTAATTAATTCAAGAAAGGCTTTTGGAGAATAGCTTTAAATCGTCACAATTTATTTTGTGTTTTCAATTGGTTAAAAAATCTTCACTATTTGCTCTTTAAAGGTCACATATAAAAGCTATAAAATTCTTGTTCATTTTTCTTACTGCAATTTTTTTTCTTGAGGCATCTACTCCCAGGGAATTCTTTAAAAGATTGTCGCTGGAATACGCTCCACATTGCTAAGTCCCTCATGCTCATGCTGCTATAATTGTCATGCATCTGTAGGCCACCTATTTCATCTCAGGAAAGTAACAACAATCCTTTTAATAACAACTCAATCTTTTATCTGAGGATTATAAAGAAAGAGTATTAGAAGCTATGAAATGTACACAGAAAAATACAAGAATAGTATCATGTACATCGATTTTATTTGATCTTATCCATTGTCACTTTGGATAGTCAGTGATGTGACAACAGATCTCAAAAGCTTACTGCATATTCTTACTGAGGCAGAGTAGTAGGCTTGTATTTCTTTTTTTTTTAATCACAAATATCTTTATTTTATAGATTTAAAAAAAGTAAAAACGATGAATTATGTATCGCCTTAAAGCTGATTTAACACATTGCATAAAAAAAAGCATGGCCGCCTTTTTATTACATCAGACAGGGCTATTACCCCATTATACTTAACTATACTGATTAGAATTTATGTTAATTTAGGTAGAATCTGAATTGTAATTTTATCCTTTCACAATTCTTGAAGAAATAGTAAGTTTGTATTATTTTATACATGTTAAACAGTTATTTTAAGCACAAAACACATTTTGAATTTTTGATTTCAAAACTTTGGTCAACATAAATTAAGAACCCTGAATAATTTCATAATACCTGATATGACAGAATATGTCCATTTAGAAGTTCTGGCAGAAAGCCTTTACTGACAAAATTTTACTAATGAATTTGATTGAACCATGTGACAACAATGTTTTGTCATTTAAAAGACAGTCAAAAATACTAGATTTTTCCAAAATATATTGGTGAAATGATCTATTATTTGCACTGGATACTAAAAAGCATATATCCATTTACTGTATATCTATTTCATGAAGACATATGCTGTTTTAATCTTTTGGAATATTCTTTACATAATTTAAAATATTTTAATATCTAAATATTCTATTGACATCCTAAAAAAAGAACGGGGGTGGAGTTCATGGCATTTGTTTGGTTTATTAACAGTAATTACCAGATGTTTATTCATGAACTACTAAAACTGTAAAATCATATATCTCTGGACATATTAAAAATATCTCTAGCAAAAAGTATTTTGTCTGTATTGTGGATTACCACATCAAAGCTATTGCCAACAGTTCAAAATCCTGCAAAATCTAAGATTATCCACTTAACTCCTCACTAATCTCTAATAGCAAGGACAGCATTTCGCATTTTATGTAAGAAAACTTATTCAGAGGTCAGATTACCGAGAACCTCAGGAAACTGAAGCTGTGCCAAATTTGTACATTCTTTTCAAAAGGACGACCCTTATGCTAACTGCTAAACTACAGCGACTGTACCTGATGCACAGGGGCTGTTCAATTCCCCTGTCTGAAGGAAAGAGCACATTGTTTCTGTTGACAGTGGTAACTTGCAGATCTGTTAACGCAAGAGAAGAGGCTATTTAGAGGAGGCAGAAGCTACACCAAATGATTCTGCATTCTGGGAAAGAAAGTGTCCTTTCACCCTTAAGTGACATTTTAGAGGATCACTAGAGGGATCATCGTAAAGGTACTGAGGAGCAGCTCCCAGGACTAAAGACAAATGCCCTAGCAGCATCCCCCTTGTACAGCAAAGATGCAGTAGCTCAATTGTTGCTCCCTTACCGCCGAACATTCACCTGCCATCAAGCTACAATGAAAAGTACTTGCTCTTCAGGCGCATCTCCAGTTTGTGACTGTTCGATGCTATCCAATTTTGATGGGAAGAAATAGCATTCACATAAGATAGCTGATGTATTGTACATTCAGTCCTTAAATCGGTCTTCAACACAGGAGAGGCACTCGTGGTAGGATAGAAAGAAAATATTAAAATTTCTATTTCTATTTTTTTATATCATCCTGTTTAATTTACATTTTGTACATGATTTGTAATGTAAAACTAATGAGTAGAGTTATGCACGCATAAAATTTTTTCAACTTTAATACACTTAAAATTGAGATAAGGCCTCAACTCTAGGTATCACACTCTTACTGAAAGAGATATAGTATCAAAAGAGCTTGAAATTGTCCCCTCTGGTTCTCTAAAATCTAACTATGGCTTAAACTAGGCCATTGGATACTTGAGTACCTGGCCACTACATTACATTTTTAATGGCCTTTACTTTTGGATAATATCATTTACTGCTGTGAAGAGCATTGTGTACACGCATAGCATCCCATCTCCTCTTGTGTTAACTGTGCCTCAATTTTCTTTAAGGGCATCTACCCTCCTGTGATAGATGGAGAATAGGTGGGCTGTCCTTCAAGTTTTCTTGCCTTCTCCTGGCTAAAGAGTGGGCACATGACCAATATTAACCAGACTCCCTCTCCCTTGTGAAAATAAATCTTAAAGAGAAAAATAACAAAGCCTGAAGATAGCTGCAGTTGACCCATCCAGCTAATAATCTACTGAAGAGCTTACCCCGTAGTTCTTTCATTCAATGGGTTTTCTCTACACTTAGGATAAACTCATTTCATCTATATTTGATCAAATTATTTCTATCTGACAGAACATGGAAAATCAGAACTGAAATGGATGCCAGTGATGGAGAAATATATATCAGTTCTTTCCACTTGGGCTAAGAGGGTGGTGATTTCTCTAAATGAAGAAAGTGTAGAATTTTATTAGAGAGCAAAAATTTCTCAGAAGTGTAGAAATCCATATATTCATCCACATCACTTCTTCGTCAACTGAATAAGATGATAAATAAATAAAATGATCAGTGGCAGCAGGTACAGGACTCTTTCAAATGACAAAAGCATGTATCAGCATTTGGTTAATAATAAAACAAGCTGACATTTTTCACATTATTGCTACTTGCCAAACGCAATTTGAAGTTTTGTACGTGTATTAATTCCATTGATCCTTATAATAAGCCTGTGAATTAGCTATAATAATATCCTCACTTTTACACACAATAAAATCGAGGCAACTAGTTATGGTGTTTATAAAATACCACACAGCTGGGAGGGTAGTAGAACACGTATATAAACCTAGGCACTTTGTATCGAAGATCTGTCCTCTTTTTCTTACATATTGCCTCTCAGGTAGTATTGAAAGTTAAACCTTTTGGATTTTGTTTATTGGTACAAACAATTCAACTAACATTGAGTGTAATCTGATCCATCCCTTCATCCATCCTCTTATCCATCCCTTTCTGGCAACACAAGTCAAGCAAAGCAAGATTTACATGTGCACAAGAAAAGATTAAGTCAGTAAACCTGGGTTGTCCAAATCCTGTACATTCAAAAGAAAGGTCTGGGCCTTGACCAGCTCCTGGGAGGTAACTGTAGCCCTTGGAATATCCTGTATACTAAGAGTGTCCTTGTTTACCTGGGACCTTGGGCCATGCCAGGATCTTTTATACTAACAATGTGATTTATCACAGGAGCCTCAGGCCATGCAGTATCAATTTGATGTCTGGAGGGACTGGAGATTTGAATAACTAAGGTCAACCAGGTGGGTGGTCAGTCATGATTATTGACCAATGCTGGGTAAAAAACCTGGACATCACCATTCTCAGTTGACAAGTGGAGCTTCCCTGATTGGTAATACTTTGTGCATGTTGCCACAAATGTGGAATTCTCTGAATCCTCTAGATGATGAAATTAAATCTTGCTTAAAATAATATTTGTCTTTGTTATTCTGATAATATGAACTAGGCAGTCATGTTTTGCTTTTTGCTGAAAATGTAGAAAATACTGAAAAAATTATCATGAAAACAAAAATCACCCATAATGCAGCAAGCAGGGAAAAGCACTATTTAAATATGGAGAAAATGCTCCTTTCTTCTACTTCCCCCTTTATTTATTTTAGGCTGTAAGCTCATTTTCTACTCGGAGTATCACCTATTCTATCTGGTCATGTGCAATAAAAAAATGCCAAAGAATATTAGGAGAGGGGTGGTCATGTGCCCTAGGGTGCAGAACCCCAGTGAGACAAAATCACCCTTGCTCTTTTCGTTTTGGGGCAACTCTACCAGGCAAATGCATCAGACAGGGTTTCAGAATCTTTAGATCTTCAAAAAATAGCTCCATTGGAAAAGGCAGCCTGCCTAGGTTGTAATCTACCAACTGTAAATTTTTGGAGGGCTGAGGTGGAGGACAGAGTGCCCAGGGCAATAATTCCTCAGCGAGGTTTTATCACAACAGGTGCCTACGCTGTCCTAATGACCTTGTGAAGGAGCAAGTGATCAGTGTCACCAGGACAAATCAGACCTTAAAAATCATTTATGCAACCAGATCCTCTAGTCAAACTCCACCCCAGGCTTCAGACACCACCTCCTTCCCTGCACACACACATGCACACACACACGTACACACACACACATAGGTTCAAGACAGCATTCAGATTTGCCAGGGGTTTCCCACAGTTTGGTTTGCTTTGCTTTGGTTCACTATTTCAAATTGATGTTTTCTATTACTATATTTTCCTTAAAAATGATTATGAGGAAGGCAGTCAGGAGTTTTCAATAGCATTAGTTCTCAATATTGTCAGGAACAAAAAACATTCATAAAATTTATGAAAATATGTTATGTAGACATATATTTATGACAAGAATTGTGATAGTTTTATAATTTGCTTTTCCCCAATTAACAATATGTGAAAATTTCCTATATCTTTAAATATTCTTCTATAAAAACTTCTCAGTGACTCCATAATACTATATGGTATGAACATAATGAACAATTCTCTATTTGGGGACATTTTTATAACCCCTCCTTTTTAATTATAAAAGTGCTCCAATTAACATTTTTATAAGTATTAGTGCAGTTCTTTGATAAATATTTGGAGTAAATTCCTATAATTAGACATAATCCAGTGAATATGAATATTTTGTTTGTTCTTTCACAAGTACTTTGAGAAATTTTTAGTTGCTTCAAAATAGTACATTCCATATGTCATTTTAATTTTATAAACAATGCTTTCATAATAGCCTTTTATAAAATCCTTTCCTGTACCAAATAATTTAATATAAACAAACTTAAACTTAGTAAATTCCTTGAAGTTAAATGATATAAAAAAATTTTAAGGCATTTGATATATTTTCTCAAATTATCCACCAGAAATGGTAAATTTGCACTCACAAACAAAAATTCAATTCATTTTAAATTCCAGCTGATATAACTTGGAGTATTTACATATTTCAGTTGATATTGACAGGAATAATATTTACTACATATTGAGCACTTATCTTTTTATGCCCTGTCGCATTTGATCCCCACAGCAATCCTAAGAGGTAGGTATTATATTATTCTCATTTTAGAGAAAACTGTGGTTTAAGAATATTATTTAATTTGGTTGAAGTCCCACAGCTAGAAAGTGGAATAAATGTGACACAAACATTCTGACCCTCAATTTCCTCTAGAGTCCTCTGAACCACTAACAAGACAATATGAATATATTTAATAATCTAACATTAACATCATAGGAAAAATAGGTATACAACTAAAATTACTTTCACAATTATGTGTGTGTGTGTGTACATCAAATCTTCCTTGGAATTCACTAATAACAAAAACACATCAAATCTATTTTAAAAGTAACATTTGTATGCAAATTTACTGCAAATAAATGAAATTATAAAATAATTACAAATAAATATATCTTCTTATCAATTAAACAAATACAGATTTGACATTTTTCATAATTCCTAATACTACGTGTCTTAGCCTAGCAATATTTATTAGTCTTATACTTTAAAAATTTCCCATTTCCCATTTCATTCAATATAAGAATCTGTATTTTGATGTTAATGCAGTATATTTTCTACTATAAAATATTTTTTGTCTCTTGAGTGATAAAAGCAGGCTGAGACACAAAGCCAGTAGACCAAATGTAAAGTGTTTCCACGTGAAAGCACTGCTAGTGGGTTCTAGCATGATGAATACACTTACACGCAAAGAAATATTCCATTACAGAGCTACAATAAAAAATTGTCCAAAATATCAGACAATAATATTTATTTTATTCTCATAATGACCCATTGTCTTTCTGCTCATGTGGAAGAGTCTCTAATCTACACATTTTTTTTGTAATAATACACTTCCAAGTTTTACTATGGAAAGGGTAGAAAACTAGTTTAGAAAACTAATTCTAGGCTTATTTCTGCTACTTATTACCTGCGTCATATTAGGCAAACGAACTAGCCTATTCGACTCTTGTTCTCTCATTTATAAAGTAAAATGATGGCTGTATTACATTATCTAATTCTATATGGTCTTTCTAGGCTCAAATTATCTATGAATAAATTACTCAGCAAGTGATTTGTTTCTTTTAGTTTTCACTTGATTTTTCTCACTGAGAATTGTGACAAGTTGTAACAAGAATCAACTACTTTCACTGTAACTTAGTTTAAACACCATCAGGAATTTGGGGGAGTTTGTGGTCTTTGGAGATGTGGATTGGAAACCGTTATGAGTGTGTGTTCCGAATCCTCTGCAACTAGCAATCCTATTCACCGGTATAGATCGGTCATCATATCACCCTCTGTGCCTCCTAAAATGAGTTAATTTAAGACGTGTTTAAAGTTTGAAGCATGATTAGAACAGGTTAAACGGTGGAAGAAAGGTCAGATTTTTGTTTCGGAATACCATCATAGAAATATCTCTTAGAAAATAGTTTTAGAGGTTATCCCGCATTACAGTCCTATTCATCCTGAATGGATTCAAATAACCCTTTTTTTAATCCCCCCTCCATGTTTTGATTTTAAACTAGATTTATTTATTATGATGATAGCTATTTATTAAATGCATATAAGAATAAGGCACTGGCCTAAATTCTCTCCATGCAATATTTCATTGCTTTTATATCAGTTCTACAAGATATACAATTTTATTTCCATTCCTATTTCACAGAAAGGATAACAGAGATTTAGAAGGTCAAAATGACTTGCCCAAAGTCACATAGCTAGTAAGGCATTGATAGCCAAACCCAAGTCAGTCAGCCTCTAAGGCCCATGCTCTAAAACACTACATTTTATTTCCTTTAAAAGAAAACATGTACCTTAGGAGACGTGGGCTGACTAATCAGTCTTCTCCAGCTTTTAACCTGTGTCATGATGTCCAGGTTCACAATCACAGCCCCTTATAGACAATAAAAAAACGATGTTGAGAACAGAGATTCTAAAGGCGAGATTTTTCTTAACATAAGGCATTAAATTTGAACTATATTGAAATTATCCTGAATGAAACTCTTGGGGCAAATATGTCAGAATTTGGATTCATTATAATTTCAGAAACCTAGTAAGGTATGTTTACTATTTATTACATAACATCTTAATGTTTCATCAACAAAATTTATGAACATTCACATTAAGTGAAATAAACAAAGCTTTTAAATAGACTTGTATTGGCTCAGGTCAAGATTTATAACAAAATAAGTTATGAAAGAGCTTTCCTTTATAAAGCTCTATAAATTTTAGAATCATAGATAAGAAGTCATAGATCTAAACTTCTTTTCTTTCTTTGATTTAAAAAAAAGCCAACAATGTGATCTTAAATTACTACTACTTATTCTATTTTCATGTTATTTTTTTTTTAAATTTAGCTTTATTTTGTATGCAGTGCTGTGTGCACTCTTAACGACATTCTGTGTAGGCAAAAAAGAGAGAAGTAAAAGTCAAGAATTTCCTTAAAAATAATTACACCAGTAAATGTCTTACTTTCTATAATTTGGATTTTGTCTAAAAATTCTGACTACATTATTCAAAGTCTGTCTAATTTCTGTCAATTCTTCTACTGTTTTACAGATCTTTCCCTCACTATGGATTCTCAAAGCCTTTTTGCTAATTCATATTTTTTCAGGTTTCAAATTTTCTTAAAAGTCCTCCTAAAAATTTATAAATGTCTTACAAAAAGGAATTATGTTCATTCTTTTCTTTTATCACAAAAGGCCCCTAAGAATGTTGGGTAGACTGTGATTGCTTTGCAAAATAACTTATTGGCAATTTAAAAGTCTTGAGCCTTTTTGATTGCTTCAGATAAATTTGAAACTATATATGCAACCATCTTTCTTTTGAAGAATTCATTTTACAATGCTAGCAAGAGATCAATTTTGTAAACCTATACTGCTCCATTAATTTGAGTAGCTTAGAATAACTAAAAGCAAAATCAAATTTGAAGATGTACATTGTCTTCTCCATAAATTACCTGAATTGTATCTCATTTCTTTGAACTGTGGCCAAAGAATCAGATCTTTCTCTTCTAAATTCCTTTCTAAATATGAATAAAAACCTTGAAATTAAATTTTGCCATAAAATCATGGGCTACCACTAATTTACTTGTAGAAAAAAGTTAAGGACATTTTGCTTAGTTGATAAAAGGGGGATTTTCATAAAATCCCCAAGTTTATGGTTAATCACCAAACTCTCTAACATAAATCATATCCACATGCTGCCAAATAATACAAAGACAAATTCTGCTCCAAGGAGGAAATAGAACAAGGAAAGAGGAAATATACCATTTCAGTGGGCTAAACCACATAATGTTAGTATTTTATGTCACTGCATCATACCGGTTCCTTATTACGACATATCATACATCAACATTACAAGCTGGAAGGAGAGAGTAATAGTAGCAAAGCCATTTGATGCCATCTTGAGCTTTTGAATAGTTTCGGACCTCATTCTTGATGGCTTATAACTAAAGACATATGCTTACTCTCCCTCTCCCCAATTTCATTTATTTCAACAGATTTGTAACCCAAAATAGCCACTGAAGTCTTAAAGAGGCGCTAACATTTCTAAGAGTATCAATGCTTTAAGGTGAAATCCAAGAAATCTTTTTTTTAATATCCATGACAGGCAATTAAATAGTTTTGTTTAATATTGTCAAAAGGGAAAAAATTCTCAACATCCATCTATTTTAGAGACTGAAAATGTGATGTCACATATTGAACAGATGTCACATAAATATATTTAAGATATTTAACTAAATTCTTCCCATAAAATATGAAATATTTAAACACACAAAAAGAAAAAATACCTGTCTTAAGTGGGTACAAATGTGTTTTGTGGGGTTCGGTTTGTTATTTGAAGACGACTCTCTGTGGAAATAGTAATAGTCATCTCAAATATTTACTATAGACAATAGGAACTACAAACGTGGTTTCTCTAAAGAATAAACCTGTGTATTCTGCAAGGATCAGTTTAAGTGTTTTTAAATGGTTTACTGTCAGAGTTTAGTTTAATTAATATGAAAAATATATTTATATAACATCTAAATGTCTTTAAAAGATCTGTGGGATGATTTTCATAATTGGTATTAAATTTCTTGTAAATAAGAAAGCAATGGTATGAAAATTACAGAAAGAGTCATCAAGTTGCATGTTCATAAATAATGCTGTTCCACTTGAGAAATAAGCTTCCCACAGCATTGATTCTATCTCAGCAGAAATAACTCATCGCAAAATACTACACACTTGCCAGGCCTGTTTTCATAGCCTTTGGAAATAGAGTGCTTAATAACTAGACTCATTAATGCTAATGGTAAATCAGTGAGATTAAATATTTCTATAAATCATTTCATTAATAAAACAGAGGGCCCATTAAAGAGCTATTGAACTGCTAAGCTGTAATATTTCAGAATCAGCATTTTATAAACATTTCAATTAGCACAGGTTGACAACATCCATAAAAGGCACAACACACCAATGCCACAGGAGAGAAAAGCGTACACTGGCCAAGCAAATTATGTAGAATGCAATTTTCTTTGGAATATTGTAATGTAGAGTAGCAATACATAAAAATATAATGAATATTATATATATATATATCCATATCCATAAACACATTCTGTCTCATGTAGCTTTCAAGAACCATCTGATGGATGGTATGCTATGATATTCACTAGCACACGCTATTTTACTATTGCCCTTAGATGGATCATGGGCCATGAATGATATTTGAGCAGTTAAGACTAAAGGAGTGAATACTTAAATACAAAAAGAATAATGATAGCTTACTATAGCCCTCAGTAAGAATATTCAACATACATAAGAGCTGAAAAATGAGAGTAGAGAGTATGCATTTCAAATAGTGCTACAAAGGCACAATGCAGGAATGACCACAGACTTAAGTGGTACATAAAAGTATAGAGTGTTTGGGGTCCCTCATACCTGAAAACTCTTCACTTAGCTTCTATTTCCTTTTTTTAACTCACAGCCAAGCCTATATATATATATATATATATATATATATATATATATATGTTTTAAACCTCCAACTGCACATTTTGATGAACAGGGGAACCTATTCAGTTGGTAGAGTTAATTTTACCCTCAAGCCACAATCTCTGCTCCAGTCCAGAATGCTTCTAATTTGCCAGGAAGCACATATTAGCTTAGGGGAGGTGAGGAACCAAAGTGTAAGAAAAACAGCAGAATTCCTGGCAGATGATTGAGGCCAAAAAGAGCCCAGGATTCAGAGAAGCTGGGTAAATATCTAAATTCAAATCCCTTATTGACTATAATGTTTTCTGTGTTGGGAAAACAAGTCCATGCAGCTTAGGTTCTGTGCATCAGAGAGGAATTCAGGTGACTTTTTGCCAGGCTAGTGTTTGTACTGGCACTTGGGGATTGAGCTCTTCGAAGTTTTCTTACTAGAAAGTGCATGGCAAGCCATATGTTAAACAATGCAGCACTGGTTTGAAACACAGGAAGCAAAACGAAGTCAGAAATATTTCAGAAATGTCCTTATAACAACCATATATCTCAAATTAAAGATTGCCACAAATCCATTGACTCTATTCCCGTAAAGAGGTGGGGATCTGTTTTTCCCCCCTCTCCTTGAGTCTGTGCTGGATCAAGACTGCTTTGACAATAGAATGTAGTAGAAGGGGCATGATGCCATATTCTGGCTTAGGAATTCAGAGGACTGGCACATTTCACGTTGGTGTCTGAGGGTCTGGAGCCAGACTGTAAGAAATCCAAATATCCCGAGGTTTCCATGCTCTGGGAATACTAATCCACAGGAGGAGACTTAAAGAACAATTTATCTTTCTAGAAACTGAGAGAAAAAGACCAAAGACCATGGAGGAGTCACACTTGGAAGTAGATTCTCTAGGAGCAGACACCTCAACTAAGCTACATCCATCAGAGACTAAGCACCCAGCCAAATTCTTCCCAAATTTCTGACCTAAAAGTCATTAGCAAAATGAAATGGTTGCTTTAAGCCATGTGGTTTCAGGGTAGCTTGTTACACAGCAATGGATAACCAAAACATGACGTTAGCAAGAGAAACCTCAGACTTCCACAAATTTGAATTTTTACAAAGAAAACCAGTGTATCAAAGTTATTTTTTTTCTTTTCTTTATCCCTCCTGATTGATGTATTATTTTGGTGTTTTTAATAAGAATCACTAATTGTAGCAAGACAACCAAAGTCACCCAAAGAGTTTGGCTTCCAATAAATAAACCATGCAATAATTTATGCTAGTAAAATACTCCTGGGTAATGAATTTTACGAGCTAGGAAAATTACTCTGCATATACCTGCTCAGGCTTTTAAAAAACAAGCCAAAAAAAAGTGTCTATATCTCAGGAAAGACTTCAATAAAATTTTCCTCTTCTTTAGCTTAATTAATCTTTTATAATGAACTGTATTTTTTAATAGAATAGGCTAAATCTAATGATAATCCCTATTTTGGGAGGGATCATCTGGTATATTTCAATATGGGTATATGTTTCTTTAAGGATGTTGTGGGCATAGAGATCAGATTAGTTTTATTAATTTAGAATATTTGTGCTCAGTGAAGTATTTATTTCAAACGATTGCCCAAATATTAATTCTGTTTGCCACCACACTGACTGATTGCCCACCTTTTGTATTTATAAATGGATTAAAACATTAGAGAGAAAGAAATAAAACTGGAATAGATCAAAAAAGTGTTTTTGTGTTAAGGATTTGCCATGTGAAAATATGCTAGAGCTTTTTCAGTTACTGAACGGAAAGAAGAGAAATGTTTTAGCTGAGTAGAGGGACAACATTTGTAACATAGTTAAGTAAAACACAGATGCCAGATGTCACAAGAAGATAAGATTTGTACTCATAATCTTTTTATTTTTAAATCTGCATACCTAAATTAATAC